TGCCTCCTATTAAGGCAGTCCTCTACAAAATGAAATACGAAATTGTAACTGGCCATTTTATTTCGCCCATTTCAATTTAAATTATCACAGATACTTTGGACTACTAAGAAGGCCTTGTAAGCATTCGACTCTGCAAAATTAATGGTTCTTCATATTTTTGCTGGATATTAATAATAAACTCTTAAATTAGACAACGTAAGTGTTATGGATGCAAAACAGAAGGGTAATTGTAAATAGGATGTGTAGTGAGTACGATAGACAGCACAAGTGAGGAGGCTTGGGGAAACAGCCGGGCATATGGCAAGGGGGACTGTCATAGGCTGATTGGTGGCCAATCGGCACAAGGAAGGTGCGAACAGGGGTCATGACCTTGATCGTTCACTTGTCACGCGTTTGTGGCACGATGCCCTGACGGCCCGGACAGGATACGCTGCATCCCTCCACCCTAAAGTGGAGAGCATAAGGAGGAGGGGGAACAGTAAAGGTAATAGTGGATAGTTAGACAATGTTCTACTAAGATTCGTCCTGAAAGCGTTGGACAGGTTTGCGGATTCAGGTCGATCTTCTCAGGGCGGTATTTTCTACCTCTGCCTAAAGAGGCGTTCAAACACCTGCAGGTAATTAGCCATGGACATGTTCTGACCGCAGTTTGCAGAATATAAGCCTATGGCTCAAGCTGGGGAGTCCCCAGCGCAAACAGCAACCGAATCCGTGTTTAAATTTCGGGTTTTCTGACAATATTGTGACATTATCTGACCGACGACATCAAGTAATTCAGTCAGTGACTTTCTGGTTCCCCCCCCCCCCCGCATTTTCTGCTTACGTCTATGTTAGTTTCCCCAGTAACTAATTCATCGCACCTTACCGTTAAAGCCACATGCATAGTTCACTGATACAAAAGATGAATTGACAAAGCGATGACTCAATCCGGCAAAAGAATGCTTGGCTTTTTTGCAAATTTAAAGCCTTTAAAGACGCACTCCAATTACGGTTCATTTTACGAACTTAGAAAAGTTGAAATTTGTACTTGACATTTAAGTTTATGGCAGTACAATCTGCCATGTCAGGGGATAATGTAATTACTACAGTAGGTGGGCTAACTCATGAAATGTCCACCGAAATTTCGAAATGCGTCTTCGTTCCAAAAAGATGAAGTAAGTAGAGTTTTAAAAGTAATTATCGTGCAGAATAATTCTATAATAATTCGGCTACCTCAGGATGCCGGCTTCTATGCGAATTTTTTTCGGCTGCATGCAGAAACCACACGCTATATAGCATGCGTTTTTCTCACTGATTTTCGATGCCCTTAAAAACCCACGTATATTTAATGAAAAACATGCATAAAAATATTCATTCTTTTGCTCATTTGGTAGAACATTACGTCGTCATCCAATTTTTTACTCAAAGGAAGGTTGCAATTCGGTTTTAAAATGTTTCTTATTGTGAGACTTTAATACGGTGAAGTGGCCGTTCATAAAACGTAATGACTCTGCATTTACCAATGGGACTTTAAAGGTTTACAGTATGGAGTAATTCCACTTCCAAATTGTATGAACCCCATATAGTCTGCTTTTAATACCGCAGGGAAATGTATGGTTTTCCATACGCCGAAAATTTACGGTTTGTAGTTTGGAAACCCCGAATGCAAGTAGAACGGCAGGTCGGGTTCAAAATTATTCGGAAATTAGAAAAGTGTTCGAAACCGAATTATATCCTTCCTTTAAAAATACAATTTAAAGGAGACGTAATTTCTTACCAAACGAGCAAAGGAATGAATATTTTGTGCATGTTTTCTATGAAATATAATTGAGTATTTATGGGCGGCGAAAATCAGTGTGGAAAATGCATGCTAGTTATTTTTTCCAGAATATAGTTTATGCTTGCAGCTGGAAAGAGGTTCATTCGAAAGCCGGCATCCTGAGGTAACTGAATTATTATAGAACTATGCTTCATGATAATTAGTTTTACAGCCCTACATAATTAATCCTTTCGAAACGAAAACGCCTTTCGGAATTTCGGCTGACATTTTATGAGTTAGCCTACCTACCTTACTGCCAGAAAATGCGGGGGGGGGGAACCAGAAAGTCACTGACTGAATTACTTGATGTCGTCGGTCAGATAATGTCACAATATTGTCAGAAAACCCGAAATTTAAACACGGATTCGGTTGCTGTTTGCGCTGGGGACTCCCCAGCTTGAGCCATAGGCTTATATTCTGCAAACTGCGGTCAGAACATGTCCATGGCTAATTACCTGCAGGTGTTTGAACGCCTCTTTAGGCTGTATGACAACAGAGCGTCAGCTCATCTTGCAGTTATTCGATTGTTTAGATCAATGGCCAAAAGGACTCCGACTGAGATATTTGGTCTTCCTAAACTGCGGTCAGATACGGTTGGATGATCTGCTGACGAAGATGAATGAGCCAGCATGGGCCACTGTGCGGTCTTCCTTGGCTTTGTTGGTCATACCTCTCTTAGAGTGCGGGAAATTCAGTGGGTGGAGACTTCATGTTGTGGATATGTGGTCGCACCAGATTTTCCGATTCGACCGGTGAACATTGCGCAACCCTACAGTCGATCTAAAGGCTAATTTGAAGGTTGACCGTGTTCGTCGGGACCAAAGTCTATCGGTTAAGAAATCAAACAAAAATGTAAGCAGACAATGTACGAAACAGGCGTTCTTAAATTTCATGCCGCCACTGAAATAAGCAGTATGAAGCTTCAAACGGAAAATACTTTCCTAAGGTGCAAACATTTAATACTGTATAAGTGCACGGCTATTTGCCAAGCTTACATTCGAGGATCAGCTAAATTACAGTGACAGATGAAATTTATAAAAACCACTTAAAATTTTGGGATATAATTGTGGCATGCCAATTAAGTGTGAGTCCCTCATTTTTCCCGTATAATTGGCCAAGTTAATCGCTTTATCCCAAGAGAACTGATTGGTTTCCATTGTTGCTAATTTCGGCAGTTTCAACGTCTGAGTCTTGACGAACATCTGTTCTGTTGTGTGCGTCGCAAGCAAAATTAACTGGAGAGACAGATTCACACAAGTTGCCAGAGTAACCAACTGTGATGTTCAACGCACACTAGTGAAATAGGGATTACATTCACTCATAAATACTTGCTCTACCATCAGTATTCGGCGGCGAAACAACATGCTCTGAATTCCTTTATGAAATCCAAAGCAGTCTAGCCTCACCTATATTGTGTAAAAGTTGCTCTTTATAGAGAACTCTGCATTGAAGCAGCCTAACTGGTACGCGAGCATATTTAATAAGTAGGCGTAAATCAAAAAACAAGTTGTGGATAAGATGTTCGGTTATTTTCATGACATTGTTAAATATATGAAATGTATGTACACAGCATGATCTGATGAAAGGAGGAAGAAATGGAGTCATGCGTAAAATTTGAGTTCTGAATTACAGCACTCATGTGAAGTCCAGAAGCTACGGGATGTCAGTTTTGGGGAGGCGAAAAAAGGAATCCAAGAGGCCAAGATGGTCAATCCCGACTTCGTCCACGACTTCCAGAATCTCGTAGGCCGGTGACGCCTGGCACAGGAGAGCGTGGGCAACAGCAAACAGCAGTACCAACGACAGTCTGGTCATGATCAGGTAGTTTGCAATGTGGGTTCACTCGCACACGTCCTTCTCTGCCAGTCTGCGATTTGACTTATATAGAACATCTTGCATGTGGGTGCGCCCCCAATTGCGTGCGGACTTTATAATCCACATTAATATAGGAGGCTTAATTGTAGACTTGATGATGGCTAGTGTACCTCTTGAGCTTGAAGACAAGAGCGCATGGACGAGGAACGTTTACATTAATACTGCGTTGGCGGTTGGCCGACACTGGCAGCCTGAAGTGTAGAGCGCTCATCGATGCATTCGCTTAAGAGTCGGAGTATATTACCAAAGCAAACCGTTGATTCTAATGGTAAACTGAAATTCTGCAGTAGTGAGGTAAACAGTGACTGTCCTCCACGAGGGAGCTTACATCGGTGTTCAAACTTACAGACTAGCAATGATTCTATAGATCTCAGTGGGCACATCTAACATGAATACCATAATCAGCTAATAAAATGTTGACTTAACTATGGAACATTGAAGAACCCGTGAAACTGTTACTTTAACATCAAGTTTTACCCATCGAGCAACCGGTTAACATTAAATGAATCACCATCGAAATATGAAGAGTCGCATAGGTGCCATTAACACATATCCAGTGTGCTGATAATTCCGTGACATTTTTCCGGATTGGTGAACGGATATTCAGGCGAATTTTGTTTTTATATCATTTAATAAGTAACTCATCATCATTTCAGTATATGGCATTATTTACGGCCAGTCAAATCACGGTTAGAAACGGACTGCATAAAAGATGTTTGCGCAGTAAAACAAGAACCGACATATAATTTCCGCAATTTGGTTGATTCAGTGCGGTAAGCTTTTACTGCCAACGGGAAGTGTCGACCGCTCAGCGAAACTCTCGCTGTCCGTTCGGAATTACTTCGATACTCTCGTAGTCTTAGGTACATTTAGTAAAATCTTTTTCGCATGTCAGCGCCAGCGTCATTTCCGATGGGAGCGAAAGAATCATTGGGAAACAGTCTTTATTTTTAAATTTTCATTTGCAA